AATTTGCATCAACAACTTGAAACGACTCGAATGAAAGCTGACCAGGATGCTCGTGCTTCAGACCTCAGCTGGGCAAAAGAGCGGTATTTTCTTGATCGTCAAGAACAGCGTGACGCCGAGGCGAGAAGATTGGCACAGGAGTTACAAAAGGACAGAAAAGCCTTTTGCAAGCGATTGGTAATGGAAGGGAAGTCACCTCAAGAACTTGAGGCGTATCTTCATCTCGTATACCCGACGCAAGAATGGGTGTAAGTTGTCTTTTGCATGTTCTTCGCTTGTCAAAGTTAGCTAATGTTTCAAACAATCACTTTGTTACACCGATGTTTTAGGTAATCCGCTTATCAGAAGTGCTTTTCGTGCTGTCTTTGATCCTTTATCAGTTTATATGTTACCTACCCATGGCCTTTTTTATTTCATACACGTTCTGTCTTTTTTTTCTTCTGCCTGGTTTTTCACCTATTTTCCTTTGATGTGCTTCTCCAAACTTGTTTTCTACAAGTTCTTCTACTACTAGTTTGTGATTTTTGTGGTCGTCTGTACTGAGTCCTGCTCGAGTATGCAATTCTATATAGTTTATTGCAATCAAAATCCTCCCTTAAGCCAAAAGTCAAGGTCAAAGACCATCCTCTCTTAAGCCAATTGTGCCGTACACCATCAAAATGGCTGAACATGTCTTTTTTGCATCTTTCAAAAAGACATGTTCAGACATTTCGAAAAGACAAGTTCAGACAAAGACAAGTTCTTCATACTCAGGTTCAGACATTTTGAAAAGACAAGTTCAGACTGAACAAAATTTTCATTGCACAATTGGCAGACATACCGTGACCAAGCAAACAAAAGGCAGAAAAAGGAAAGACACAAAGACAATCAAGAAGAAATGACAACAACAAACTAAGAAACACAAAGACAATCAAGAAGAGAAATAACAAGTACTGAAACAAACTAGTAAGCCGAAAACAAAGACACACAGAGGCGATCAATCACCACAACCCCTCACGATCTTGCACAATAAGTCAAGAAATGATGGGTAAACCTCCGCTCATCCAATTGTATGCTACGGTGTGATCTCAAACCAATTCCCGCTTAGCCCAGCCCTTCTCCACTCCCGCAGCATCCACAGCAACACCAGCGCGTATTCTTCCGGCTTCGCCTCGTTCAGGTAGAACCATATCATCATCGTCCTCATTCCATGCATTTCCCAGATCCGCCAACATGTTGTGTAAGATGACACATGCGCGGACCCACCTGAGGATTTGAAACATGTCACTACGATCGTTCAAAGAGCACCTGAGTCCTTGAAGAGATGCCCATCTTGACTTCAAAATTCCGATACAGTGTTCATTTCGAACCCTGGCCTTTGCAACACACCAGTTGAACTCTTTGTTCCTCTGAACCTCGGCAGCCTGCCCTTTATAGGATGGAACCACGGTTTCTGACGGAACGTACGCGGAGTCGGCAATAATGAATTCGTCTGGTGAAGGCAATTAATGGTCAGCAAAAATGATAGTCAAGAAATCAAATGATTTTCAGACGTACCTTTACCAAAGAATAGATCTGGACAATTTGCGATCTCTGTCTTTGAATAGACAGTGCTGTCACAGCACGAGCCCGGCCACCCCGCGTACGCATAAGTGATTCTCCGGTTGCAATCACACACAATCTGGACATTGATCAAATATCGATGTTTACGGTCGAAGAACACCTCGCCGTCTCGACCAGGGCGTTGAAAGAGGGGGATTGTCGTTCCGTCCACAAAACCGACACACCCGGCGAACCCGTCACGTGAAAGAACATTGGAGATAGCCTTTCGCCTGTTGGCGTTTGGCCAAGTAAGATAGTGAGAGCCACAATCCAGGATCGCTGTGATCACACGGCGAGTGCAATTAGGGACTGGGCGAGGTTTCGACCGACAGAGGATTTAGCCACCTCAATAAGCGCATGAATCCCCTGGAAGTCGACCGAAGCGATTTATGCAAACAGGAGGTGTCAGGATTACTCCTACAAGCCCAAGAGACCCGACTGTCAGATGATTTCACCAAAACCAGAGCGAGAGCAACCTGTGAAAGGTATATCAGGCTATCCAGAAGCGTTCTGCCATAGGCTTTTGGCTGAGGTGGGGGGGGAAATTTTGAATAGACAGCTCGTCTTAGGGAGGGTCATGCCTGTGCGCCACCCTATTTTTTTTAGTGCCATAAAGCTTACTAAAAAAAATAAGGAAATTTCATATTGATTGAACAGTGGCTTAGCTGTTTGCAACTCGCTTTCAACTACGGTTGAATTGCAATTTTGCAGAGCTTCGCCCAGTCCCTATTGATAACCGAACCTCTGCCAACCTTGTAGTTTCTTGCGAATCTACCCACCGAAGCGCCATTCCCGTTGCTTCCCAGACGTTCCAGGGTCATTGCAAGTTGTTTTTCAACTGGGGGCTGTTGATGGTTTCCCAAAGAGAGGAACACGTGGTGTGATTCAATGATGGACAGGAGTGCACGGAATCCTTCGGACGTCGTTTGCATGGCCTGGCGAAAGTCGGTTCGTCGAGCTCGGAGCATGTCACGTAGGTCGAAAGTGGTATGGAATGGTATGCGGATTCTATCTTGAAGATAACGTCTTCCAATTACATAAGCCAGCAACTCACCCCACTGATTTTCGGGATCAAAAATGGTGTTGTACATGACGGCGAGGGCGTGATTATGTCGGAAGATGATTTCGCCGTCCGTGGGGATGTGGCCAAGGCGATTAGGGGCAGCCAAAGGCTCTTCTGAGAACAAGTGGGCTACTACACATAGATGGGTCAAGTCACGGATGACCAAGACTCGTTCGGAGACACGAGGCATGCAGGAAGAAAAGGCGAGTCGTGAGGAAATAAGCAAATCAAGAAGATGAAAAGAGGTATGGATGACTGTATGGATGTTAGGTTCTTCCACCTCGGCCTCCTAATAAAGAGATCAATGAGATCAAAGAGATCGGTGAAAAAAAACGAAAAAAAAATCACAAGAAGAAAAAAACGGAAAATGTTTTAGATAAAAAAAAAGGGCCATGGCGGTTTTCGGAACGTTGAACCTGATTTTACCAAGACGTAAAACTTAAATTAGAGGTGTTCGCCACTTTGCAAACCCAAATTTTAAGGACTGGGCGTCCTTAAAATCCTTGATTGCCAACTGGCGTGCAGGGTGTTAGCGTTTCTCATCTTGAACCGCCCTATTGCAAAGATCTCATCTTGCTTCAAGGCCTGAACCTTGAGCTTCTCTTTTTCAAGCAATATTGATGGCTTGTAAGTTCGTGTAGTGTCTACAGTTTATGTCAAACTTAGAGTCTGTTCATCTATATATATATGTATTGTGTTCTCTCATTAAGAATTGGTCTCAAGAAATCAAAGTGAATATGTGCACACATATCTTCAAGTTCATCTTGAAACTTGAACGTGATATCTTTTGATACATTCTTTGATTTGAGAATGTCTTTTTGCAACTAAGTCTTGTCAACCCTACATAAGAATATTTCCATTCAACACTGCAAACTGCTTCCATGGCTTCAATATGTACATCATTGATTATGAGGTGAAAAATGTTTAAACTTATTTGGAGTGTTATATGTATATGAGAGCGATAGACACATTTGTTTGGATGATGTGTTGTTTGTTTTCATCCACTGAGAAAAATCACAGTAGTTGCTCCTCTTTTGACCCCCAAAAACCCCTTTTTGTTGGCACGCATTGGGAAAAGATAGACTGATGGAGCACACATAGATGCCAGATCTGCATTTATATCATTGTATTTCAGGTTTTCAGGCCTGGATCTATAGATATGCTTGATTTGTATTTACAACTTCTTGGAGCACAAAGACTTGTATTTGATTGTTGAGTTGGAAATTTCCCTGTTGCTGGGCTGTGATTTCAACTTTGCCAATTCATCATAGTAGCACTCAATCAACAGTTCAAGATGAACCAAGCCCAGCATGTTGCACATGACTGGTGGAATCATTCCTTGGTTGTTGTTGGCAAGTAGAGTATTGGAGAAACAGATGTCAATTGAGCCATGGTGTAACTCGGAAAAACAGGGTGAACATCCATAATAATTCCAGAAGGAAGAATGATGCTGTGCAGCCCCTAGTGAAGGTTTTGTTGTTGGAAGGCCTTCAAGGGCCATTCAAATACAGAAGGTGTCAAGCACTTGAAGCTCAGCCAAACCACAAGGAACCTTTCCAACACCACTGCCAGTCTCTGATTATTTTTGACACAATAATGGGTCTAAAGCACAAGGTTGCAAGGGCCTCGCATGCGTAATCTGGATCCATGAAGTGTATTCAACCGCACATACCAAATCTCTCAAGCAGGCCACCAACTCATCCCTAACCAGAACCCTTGTTATCACCGTCATTTACCATATATACCAGATCTTTTTGATGAAAATTGTGACATTGATACACCATAAGAGAGAGATTTCACAAAATCCCCCGAATCTATACCTTGTGACATGGCCTCACCAGGATGGGGGACTTCCTTAAGTTGGTGGTACACATTGCTTACGCATGTGCATATTTTGGTATGGAAGAGAACAGGTCGACTGTACTTGTGACAATTTCCGAGGCATATGTGATTTATTTATTGCTTTTGGGGAGTTCGAAGACACTTGTAGAATTGATAGTCTTTACAAATAAAATACTTCAAGACAAATACATATTGACGAGATTTCTTTCTTTCTTCCTTTCTCATCATTTCTGAAATCTAAATAACAAAGTTTTAAAAAAATAAGCTCAATATCAGTATAGAGGAAAAGAATGAATAACCGATCAGAGCACCTTACACTATATTCAGATGAATAATGTTATCAAAATCGGTCTTTTCGTGGGGTCACTTCATTGTAACCTAGAGATTTTAAAAGCGCCATGGAGTAGTTTTTACATTGATGATATACTAGTTCGAATCCTTCCTGAATAATTAAATTTTCGAAAAAAGTACGAAAGTCAAATGAAGTTTGTTTAAATTCGAGCAAGTAGGATTGCTATTTTATTACCTTCCCGCCATAATCTATTCAACATATAAGAACAACCAATGTCAATGTAAAGTGTTCAATTATGTATGTATATTGAGGATGAGAATTTACATGGATCATCAATGACTTCTCCATTACAGAATCCTCCAAACAGGTGGACTACGAATGAATAGGAACAACCATCAGCATCAAGAAGGGAAGAAAATCAGTGGAAAGATAATTTCAAGGTGTAAATTCATACCTTTTGCTTTAGCATCTGATGGCATAATAAATCTAATGTTTCTTAAATTATGTTCATCCATTCCTAAAATATAATCATAATCATAGAAGTCTTGGGTTTTGAGGTGTTGTGCACGTGAAGAGATCGGTACTCCTTTCTTTCGACATATGGCTACAGTTCTAAGATCACCGATCGGATACATGGGAAGTGCCATAATAAAAATTCATAGTAATTTATAAACAATCATAAAATTTCAAAATCAGTTTTAGTGAAGAAGTGCATTTATTTGGATAGATTTATTTAAAAAAGGATCAACCTATCATCCGGAGCTTCACCAACATGCATACTAATCAGACGAAAAGATTATCCCATCATTTAGTTTTTCAACGACTCCATCGAAGAACTAAATCGGATCAATGTACTTTGTTGTACCAGCACTCTCGATCCGTGGAAAGTGAGAAGACAATCCGTTTATCTCTACCAGATCAGCAAAAACTGCTTGTGCCATTGGTGATCGACAAATGTTACCTGATTCAATCAAACTAGTCAGCATCGAATGCACTTCCTGATCATGCGTGTATGCGGTAATCGAAAGAAGTTCTTACCGAGGCAAACAAATAAAATTTTATAAGTCTTTTCCGGATTATTAGTGGCCATGATTTCGGAGTTATCGCTCAATGGATGTGGTATGAGATGATGGGCTCTTTGCGTTAATGAGATTGATAACTTATCGTCAAACGTTAGATTTAGTGCTGAGCTGCTCTGAACCGCTCTCAATCCGCGCATACATGCACAAAACTCCTGGATTTTGGAAGAAATTTCGAAATTAAACCTAGACCTGAACTCAAGTTTCCATTGGAATTTCAATTGATCGCATCCTCACTGCTCAACCTGCAAGTACAATAACTTCACGATTTCTTGATCAACTATCATCCTACTCAAACGAAGCAGAGGTTCATTTAAAGCCGATTTGACCAACCTATCATCACCGAACCCTAATGTTTGTACTCGGTGTCAACTTACCAGAGCGTAAACTCGTCCAAGTAAGTCCTTCATTCCAGATCAACTTTCTATCCGCCTTTCAACATGATTCTCATTGATGATCGATTCTGACAAGCTTGCTTTCATTCTATTCTCAAGTTCGCTCTACTACAGTATGTTGGCATCGGACATTACACAGCCAAATTGATATGTAATCGGCTTCAATTCCATCCGAAACTAACAGTCGGTGATATGTCAGAACACCAAATCTCAAGATTATCGGCCCTACTTTCCTCACCACCAACCTCACCACCACCCAACTATCCACTTTCACCACTCGAAGGAATCCAACCACCATCAATCCTAGATTTCAAACTTTCTGATCCACCAAAACCAAAAACACTTTCATTAGAAGCAGATCCACTTCAAAGGTTAATAATCGAAAGTGATTTAAGAAGAGAAGTTCGAGCGAATATAGCTCATCATCGAGCCGTTGGATCGTATAGAGGAAAAAGACATGCATTAGGATTTCCTGTGAATGGTCAACGTACTCATACCAATGCTAAAACTGCTAAAAAATTAAATAGAGTGGATCGAAAGGCTTATTCTACGTACACTTCTCAATCTTCACCTCTACTTGATCTTCCGCCAAGAAATTTCAGGTGGGTCTTTCTTCTGACTTGGTATACCACAGTGATTCTTCTGACTCGTATCTTTTCATTTCTCTACTACGATTTAGCTCTCCGCTTTTAACCACAACTTTTCAGTATTCAATACGATGGCTACAGAAGGCAAATGAAGCAAGGTGGGATATGTAATAAGACTAATCTCACTGAATTTGGTTTACTGGGTTGGGAGAAGTAGTTGAAATTTGTACTTGATGCATCTTACATTGAATACAAAAATTGGCATCAAGTTCCTTTTCAGGTCTCCGATATAACCAAGCTTTGGGCCTGATTTTAGAAGGGATCACCAGGATACGTTTTACAAGTCACCAAGCTGTGTATCTGATTGCCTTTTTTCTGCACTATCAAGGATAATTGATGCATTCTTCTATAAAACCAGAAGAGAGTCACTTATAGGCTTTTTCGAGTCCTTGGTGCAATCGTGCAACACAGCATAGATCAATTAGATTCATTTTCACTTGGTCAAGCTGGCTTTATAGTCTTGACTGGGAGAAGGCTTCCACCAATTGATGTTCAACTTTCTCAAAAATATATGATTCCCATGTGAGAGGCACTATTAACATGCTGTGGTTGAAACCCCCTTCCCAGTAGAAAAAATGTTTTCTGCCACTTTTTACCATCTAATTAAAAACTGACCTGGTTGCTGCTGATTATTGTTTTACTTGCCTACCCCTTTTGATCAACATTTTGTGTAGAAGGGGTATTGCCGGACAGTAAGGGTCTTGAGTCTTTACAATAGCACTTTGAGTATATTTTATCTTTTTGTCTCCTTTGTGAATCAAGTCACCATGACTTGAGTCTTGGCAAGCTCATGGTATAAAGTTGAACTTGTACCATTGGACTAATTCAAAGTTGAGGGTGCTTTTGATTGTTTTTTTTTGGGATGTCACTGGTTGGGGTTGAAAGGTTTGAAGAACACTAGAGACCATGATGATGTGGGCATGCCTGCAACAGTTGGACTGATACCATTACATATGTATGTTGGCATAACCAAACCAACTCATCATGTTCAATGTATTGACTGATCCAACCTCAACCAGAGCATCATATGAAGCTCATTACCAGCTCAATTTCTCAATTTGTACCACATGGCATCAAATTCATTGGTTATTGAACCTACACTACGGTGCAAACTTTAAGGGCAAATATGTGTTCAAAACACCCCCAGTAATCACATTTGAGAAACATGGGACTTTACCTACCAGTGACAAATCTGTTTTGTAATTGTGATGTGGATTTTGAATTTTTGTAAAATATATGTAGAGCTGATGTACTTGGGTCATAATTTGAAAACACAAATTCTCGAGGTATCTTGATACCTCATCAGAACATAAATTGACCACAACATAAACTGAATGTGCCCGTTATGATTTCACCAGGTACTTCACATATAATTTTCATCTTGGACCGCTCAGTGATGTAGATTGTTCATGAGCTTCTGATACCAAAGCTCTGTCGCAAGCAAGCCCACGAGACCCGAGGTTCGACTTTTGGAAAACCAAGTCATGAAAACCTTCACTCAAATCAAGTCATTTCCCTTTTGACAACAAGTCTCAGATCACTTTTCACATTGTTCCGCTCTTTGACTTGTTTTTTTATTATCTCTTGTTTGTTTTACTTTCTTTTCTCTATACTACTATCATATCCATTCCCTCGTTTCCCTTCTTATCCAATTTCGTTCATCAGTCTCGGTGGCTGCTTGGATTTGATTTGGTTTTGATCAATGACCCCCGCCTTCCACCTTCGCGCGACCTCATATATCACTCTTCTTATTGATACGGACCTGAGTTAGGCCATACAACCAAAGACCAATCAGTTCCCAACTTGAAAGGCTTGGTGGGTATAGTACGACACATCTTTCTGTGCAACATGTACTAGATGAACTGAGTGTTTCTGCTTTTGCGTGACTTCAGGTAACTCAATTTCACCGCCGCGAAGATTGTCGGTCCGATGAACATCTGTCGACCTTGCATACCGATCGTGATATGATATTCTTGGTAAGTGAAGTATAGCTGCTTTATGCCTTCATCTCGCTTTGTATCTGTCTGTCCAGCCGTTATTCTAGAGTTGCTAACCCATTTTGATCTCTCCTGGTCATCACTAGTCCATGGTGATTTTTTCTGCTCATTGGATGTCCTTGTATGGAACCCGAAGGATTGACTGGATATCCTTTGCATCGAATTTTGTTGCTCTCAATTGGCCTCTCAGTTCATCCTTGAGTTTCTCAAAGTCCAACCCCCAAACAATAATATATTTCTCCCTGGCAAAAACTAGTGGCAAGAAGATGTACCGTACTGATAGATATTGACTGAATGGGGATTGGCTCATCATTTCCTTTTTTTTTGTTATATATCATTGGGATTTTCTTCTATGGCTACCTACAATTACTTCTTTACATTAAAAGTCTTTTTGTTGCACAAACATTGTTGTTTTTCTTATTTGTACGGTACATCCGGAACGTATCCAGCGTCTCATGTCACTGTGTTGCCCCAGTAAGCAAAGTATTGTGACCAAAAGGAAACCAAATGATGCCAACAGAGGAAATCAGAAATCAAAATCGAGATACCAATACCGATACAATAAAATGACAATTAAAATCAAATCAAAATCAAACCGATCAAGATCTGGGTTGGATTCATGTTCCAGAATCCATGTTTGGACGATGTGTGTATTGCATTTCATAAATGTAACCAAGAAGATTATATCAGCGATATGTCGTAAGTATGTGTGACTTTTATTGTTGATACCTTCAGCATGCCTGCTGATTACATCACGATTATGTAGGATGAGTGTTGAACAAAGATCAGAATAACAAGTTTGCAACGCAACCACATATGTTTACATCATGTTTTTACTGGGCATGTCATCAACATATGAAAACAACATCATTGGAACAGGATGGTGAAATCACATAAAGATTACGAATCTTTTGAACCGCAGTGTACAAAACAACTATGGATCTTGTTTGGAATGGGTCTACCTTTTCTAGGCAATAGGAGTAGATTGAAGATTCTTGGTTTGTTTACACTAACGGTACTCAAAGTAACTAGGTGGTTTCTGACTACTTTGAAACCTAGAACCTACTTTTTTTTTTGGCGGTGATTTTCTTTCTAAGTATGCTTGGCGCGACTGGGTAGCTTTGAGGACCCTTTCTCTACTCTAAACATAGCTTTGGCCTCTTCGAATCGGCCCTCGGCAAGAACCGTTGGTAGACCTGGATCAAGCATCCAGAAAGGTCCTATCTGTCATGTAGTCCACCTCACAACCTCCAACCTCCTCTAACTTATGTAGGCTTACACGCCTACCTTCACCTCTAAATCATGTCAACTTTTGATTTGAGAACGATCAATTGTTTTTTGAAACAATTGATCGTTCCAACTCTCACTTTCTACAAGATTTGCACTGAGCACTCTCAACTCAGGCTTTTGTTCAATTTTTATTTCAGAGACGCCTAGAAAAGGAAACGCGCCACATTCACAACAGATCCCTTTAACCCATTGATTGTTTTTAAAATAATCAATTTTCACAACTCGCACGGGGTTAAAGCTTTTGAACAATCGATTGTATGTCACAACTCTCACAAGTTAGAATCAATTTGCATCAGTTGAAAATCTAGGGTAAGGACTTGATTGAGTTTATCAAATGAAAAGATTGGAATCGAACGGGATGCAAAGCTAGAATGAGATGATAAGTAGAATTTGTTGAATTGAATCTTTAGAATGAGTAGGTGAGTTGATTGAAGTAGTTGAACACGTAGATCAGTTTGTGAATGATAAAGGGAGACCAAGGGTTTGAACTTCAGAATAGGATGGTGGTGGTGGTTGATCCGATGGACATGATGAGCTTGAGATTAGGCAGCCGGCACGGCGGTACAAAGAGTGCTCGCCTACTTTTTCCGGGTGGCGCTTACTTTTTGGAAGTAAGTTTCCTTAGGTTTCCCAACTAGGCAGAAACCACCTAGTTACTTTGAGTACCGTTACTCAACAGAGGAGAGATTATTGAATCAGCATCTATGAAGTGATTTCAAGACCAATTGTGTACAATGGTTTCATGGCAGATTGATTGGACTTTTTACTAAACTTTCTCTCCAAACTTGAAGTTGTACTTTCATCTCTATTATCTCTATTGTGATGTCAATAGTGTTTCTTATGTTTTCTCAAATGATTGGTGCCAGTATGGCTCCAAATGCCCTTTTCTTATCTCCTTTGTGAGAATCAATGCTCTCAAGGAGCTTGTTTCCATGATGAAGAGCTCTGGGAAGATGTGCTACAATACAAATTGGATCCAAATGGCAAATTTACAACTGGGTTACAGAGTTTAAATGAGTCTTGACAGCGTGGATCAATGCATTATTTAATGATAACAACTCAGCCTATTGTTCATGATCTAACAAAACAAGTGAACTTGACTTTTAAGCAAGATAACAGGTACAGTGATTTGTTCAAGAGTGTTTGATAACTTTGGCTATAAAAGTTGTAAAAGAGATGAGGAGATCACAACTTGTACATTGCTCAAATCAACATAAATGCCAAGGGTGCTTGAATTTAGACAGAGGACAAAAATTTGAGTGTGTAAGTCAAACTTCAAAGAGATAATATTTCAGAACCAAAGTGGTGTTTAGACGGTGTTGAGGTATTGATTCCTGATATGTATATAGTTTCCAATCAAAATAATTATTTGCCTTTTGCAGAGAAGGTTAACAGAAGTCAAAAGTATGCAAACTGTTTCAAACATGTATAACAACATATAATAGTGGTTCACAAACCTGAACACCCAACCTAAAAACCCATGGACAAAACCCATTACAACCCAATTGTTTTTGGGGGTCTGTCCACTACCCAATTGTTTTTGGGTTGTCATGGGTTTTGTCCATGGGGTTTTAGGTTGGGTGTTCAGGTTTGTGTACCACTGATGAATGTGACAAGGTTATATTTCTTTTAGCATAGAATTTGTGTGGTCTTCAATGCTCACGGTGTTGCTTAATTAGAAAAGGCATGTTGAGCAAAAGATATGTTGAATGAAAATTTGGGTCTGATAAAAGGGAATCCTTTTCAAGTATGTCCACAATTGCTTTTGACAAGAGGGCATTTCACAGTGCCCATGTGGGCTGCCCCAGACATTGGGGGCTCTAACAAGTACAAAGCCTTGCCTTTCAAACCTTTGTACTCCTGAGGGCCCCCAACGTCCAGGGTGTTCTCCACAGGCACAGTGTTTAAATCTAGGTTTGATAGCATGTGATTGAAAGTCAAAAACAAAGCTTTTCCAGAGTTTGTGCAGATGCATTTTGAAATGTGATGTCCAAATAGTAGGTTATTTGATTTCTGAAATTTGTGAAAGGTTCCAAAATATGTGATTGAATGTTGACAGGAATGCTTTTCAGGAGTTGCTGCAAACACTATTTAAAATTTGATCTCCAAAGAGTAGAGTGCTTTTTGCAATTTGCTTTTAAAAAGAGTTCAAGGATTTGCTTTATGTGGTACTTGATGTGGGCATTTCAGCTTGACTGATGACAACATAACAGTTATTTTGGGGAATACATCTTGTGAAGAGAGACTTCCAAAGCTTTAGATTGAAAGTGAAAGGACATGCTTTAGAAAGTTATGAAGTCATTGTTTTGACTTTTCAATATCAAGATTAAGGAAATGCCTCAGAACTCATGACTCAAAGTTAATTAATGCTTTTCAAAAGTTATTACAGGTGCTTTTTCAACTCTGCTGATCAAAGGGTATATCAAGGCCTTTTTGAAATGCTTTTGGAAAAGTGCTTTCAAATTGATTCTGGTCAGATATTTGTGATATAAGGATGGTCACAGTGCAACTTGATTGATGAAGTTGTTTTGAATAAAAAAAATTGCAGAAGATACTACACAGCTTCAGAAATTCTTTTGAAAATTTATGGCAATTTCTTCATGAAATGCTTTCCAAAACTTGTGTGAGAATGTGGAAAAATGCAGAAATTTATTGTGGAGTTGTCAAAATCTGGCAACACCGTGGGATGGATTTAAAGGTATGAAAGGAGAGTGCTGAGGTAAGATTGAATAGATTTGTAACCAGTTACCACCGCATACTTCATGGGTGCACCTCTAGGTTAGTGATCTTTGGTGACCTCACACTGCAAACATTATCCAACTTCCCCAAGTGGGCAGGAAAGAATGATTGGGAGTAGGGATTGTCATAAAATGATCTATCACTCCACACCTGAGCCATAACACCCACACTACATATGTGTAGCAGGCTCAGTGAAGAGGTGGTTATCATGTACATACAGCTTGGCTCAGTTATCTGCTCATCACAATAAGTTATTCATATGTAATACATGCTGTCACTTTTTTCAGATTGACAAAAGCATTCAAAAGATTGACTACATACACTGACTCAACTTTTTGGTGTAATCTCATCAACTCAACTGCATGTAACACCCTTTCTGTTACTAAGAAATAGCTTCAACAATATTGCCTGAGCAGCTGAAGAATTATATGTAGTGAATTTTTGAGACAATTTTGTCACAGTCAAAAAAGCTACATGTAGTATAACATGTGATTTATTTATTCTGGTGGGCAAAAAACTGAGCGTCCTGTATGTACATGATAGACAACTATTTACTTAGCTTGCTGCACATATGTAGTGTGGGTGTTATGGCTCAGGTGTGCAGTATTAGATCCTTTTATGACAAACTGTACTATTAATCATTTTCCTCTTCCAACTTGGGGAATTTGAATGATGTTCACAGTGTAAATGCTCAGTATGTCACAGTTCCTACCCACCCCTGTGAAACCACTGAGCTTATGATCATAAGTCATGTCCTGAAGTTTCAAAGGGGGGTAGGTATTTAAGTTTATGTAATGTTTGTCTAGAACATTTGAAAATTTCCAATTATGGGTTAATGCTTGTACACCAAAGTGTAACTTCAAATGACATAGACTCAAAATATAAAGAGATGTATGATGGCCACATCTAATCTTGAATAGTAATGAGATATGCTAGTTGATAAACTAGCAGAGCAATACTGGTAGTCCCACAGGATTGCTCACACTTCAAAATCAGTCTTTCTCAAACTCCTCAATTGGTAAATTTGCTCGATATATGCCCACATCTGATCTTTCACATTCTACACAGGTCAACTTGCTCAGCATGTTCTTATATTATCTTTCTTTTGTACAAATTTGCTACTTCACAACTGTGCTGAACATCTGAGCACATTGCTGAGCATGTTTGGCAAGCATCAGCAAGCAAGTGCATGCCCAGATATGCATGTACTATTGATTGCAGCTCTGCATGTAGTAATCAACAAGTGACTACAAGTCACAAAGAGTAGTAATTTACAAGTCACAAAGCTTACATTGCCATTCAGAGCAACAAATGGATGACAATGCCAACATGCATTAAATCAGCATTTCTGATTATCTAATGCATCAATTGTAATAATTTTTTCCGCAGGGAAATTGCTTTATTTTCTGGCAGTGTTGGTGATGGCGGAGGGCTGTCAGGGGCTGTCAGGGGGGTATTCGTCTATGCTGTTGCCGTCCGCGTCCTTACGAGACGGAGGGCGAACATTTGCAAATTCCATCTTGAAAATCTTCCAATTTGATCCAATGAGTCCAAAGGTAATGACCGGGTTAACTCCTTGATGTAAAGGCCAAGAAACTTTCATTCTTGAGCCTTCAACTGGTTCAACTCGATCTATGGTCACCAAATAGTACATAACGCTTGAATGCTTGTGGCACGCTTCTGATGATCTCCTTGAGGCTCACCTATTCTGTACCCGCTGCGCCAGTATTTGTGGTTCTCTATACCGTCCAAGAAGGCTAAAACAATTACCAGTATGTAGATCAGCTTCCATGAGACATCACAAGGGGCAATTGAAGATTTTTCATCAATTCAATCAAACTCACCCTCTACTTCAACATTTTCCTTTTTATCATCGATTATCTCGATGATCTCAACATGCGGGTGAAAGATTCTAGCTTCTGGCGCAAGGTTCCTCTGGTTGTAGCAATCCCTTCCCATGGTCTGTTCGTTAAGCAGAATGTCCCGAGCAAATGTGGTAACAGCAGCTCTGAGTCCCTCTACCATGCCACCACATTGATGATAAGTAGCTTAAACAAATGAAAAGAATCCAGGCAAGTCAAGACTTACCATCTTGTATTTCACTTATTTGCATAGCTGTCACTACAGATCGAAAACCCATCAAAATAACGAGTGAAATCCAAAAGGTAATCATCTCGAGGAGAGTATAGGTAAAACAGAATACTACGTGTAATCAAAAATGATATGAATGTTATTGAGTAGAAGGTGAGTTAAACCCAAGCGTTGTTTAAAACTTTCTTGGTGAAAGACATGAACTCATTTATAGTGTAGCTGATGATCACATATGCTCTCGCAAGTTTTATCTTTGTTTTTTTTCTCAAGTGACCTCCGGCCTCTCATCTGCTTGAATTGGAAAACTCAATGAAGAGTCTCCATCTTTTGAACCTGATGATACAATCTTCAACAAAAAAAAGATTTGTGTTCATTATGAGACGTCTGCGCATGTTACCTAGATAACGTCTGTTTGTCCTACTTGCAAGATGTTGTACTTTCCGCTTAACGAGCCATTTTTCGAAAATATCCTAACTTAATCAAGTCCCGCGTGCCTCTACATTTGAAGTTTGTGGCCGAGGCACGAAAATATCGACATATGGCATCTCTTCAAGACCTAGAATTCAAAAAACGGATCAACATCAAAAATAGGCATTTTCAACGTGGAGGATCAGAACCCAGAAGTCTTAGCTTGACAAACCCCTCTCTGTGCGGCCAAGTCCCCGCCCGTGCAATGTCATATAACTCCCAAGCCCTTCGTCCAAAGTGAAAAGCGGTTTATCCGACAAACAAGTCTGAGCACACTGAGTTAGCCTTTTGAATGGATTATCGGATGTCTTGTCTTTGAGATCTTTTGGATCCGGAGTGATTCAATCAGAGACCAATCGCGAGCGCCTTTCAAACACCGCCGGATGTTCACCGGTGACATTTGTTGCCACAGTTCTATCTTTTTTTAAACCAGATCTCATACTTCAAAGAAGAATCTGTACTTTATCAATATACAATCTGTGAAAAGTTACAAACCAACACTCGACGGACCCCAAGGCCTCCGGCCAATATGATTTACAAGCACGTGTCTAATGATCCAGAACATAGCCACAACCCAATACAATGGAGCCGGCGATCACAGAGACCAGATATCTTTGTTTTTGTACGAGGGTTTCTAAGAATGATATGTTTTCAAGGAGCTGGGCTCTGCATAGCAGTACGTGACACGAAGCGTATGGGTGCACAAAATAGTCCACTATGTAAGACGCGAGTCTCAAAGATTGGAAAGATGTGTACATATCTGAGTAGACAAATAGCGAGCATCTTCCTAACACTACCCTTGATTAGCCGGTAACATCTTGATAGAAAATTTTGCAATAATTCCATATGGGGACGGGGAATTTTACACTGAGTCATTTGAATCGAAGCATCCTGTGTAAAATTGGGTCAGTGTAAAGATAAACGAACCCCCTGTTTTGATTTTTACCCTCATTTCGATTTTTTTTTCGATGTTAAAGATTGCAGTTTGAAAATAACAGTGCAAAAGTCTTTCAGCTGGCCACGACATTCATTTTACGCTGAAAGTTTAACACCAAGAAATGCAGTTTGAAATATTCCAGCGTAACAATGTATATACCCTACCCTACCCAAGTCTCGTATTTGCACATGTCAAACTTACACCAAAAATAATGTCTCCATGTGTAAAATTACAATTCTGCCACACCCAAATGACATTTCACACCAAGAGAATTACGCAGACAGTCATTGAGAGAGGTTGATTGCTTTGCTTTTCATCGAGACTAGGACTGAAACATTTCCATGCTAGATGTTATGAAGGACCAATCAGATGTTCGAAAAAGGGATTGATTATGAAAAAAGGATTGAGTTTGAAAAAAAGGGGAATGCATACAGGCCACAGGTCAAAGTAATTGTTGATCAATTTATATGGCTGCAGGCGCAATGACTTTGATTGAGTCACTGTTGGTCCCTTCAATACTCCAATGTGAAAATCTGCAGCATGAACCCATTTTGTTCAGAATCTTTGCCATATATTTGGAGTACAAAAATACAATTTATATCATGATTCCAATATTACCAGATCCCTCTGTTAATGTCATTGAGTTTGCCAAGTATCCTTCAGAGTGCTTGTGAGATCCATACGCTGATGTTGTCACTTTATCTGCTACTTGGAAGGTTTTTCTAATGTTTTGTCCTACACTGCTGTTTTCAAGTGCCAAGGACTCATGAGGTTCCGAGTGTAATTCTATGGTTTTATCCGAAATGGATGGCTCTTCAAAAACTTGGGACACAATTTCCACTCCAAAAAGCAGAGCCTTGGCCCTTGACTCTGAGGATTGTAGTGCCAGGTTTGAGACCCGTTCAATTTCCACCCCCACCCTGACCCGCGTCTGAGTCGGACACTTGTTCATCACTATTTGTAGTCGGTACTGTCGGACCGCGTCGACAGGCAATTTGGGGTGATCGAGTGGATATGGATGAGCTGAGCGGTCAAAAGGACAAGAACAACTAAAACCGACGGAAAGTAGGAATTAAGAACCAATCCAAAAGGGCGGAACGATCGATCAAATAAAAAACCACATCACTCCAGAAACTAACATTCAAGATGCCGCGAATGACACCCGAACTGTTACTTTCAACTCATTCCTACCTCAATCCACTCAAAGATCGTGAATTAGACTTACGTGGTTTTCAAATACCAGCTATAGAGAACTTGGCAGTTACTAAAGTCAGTTTGATTCGATCTTGATTTGTTTCATTTCTTTTGAAAGTTTTGCTTTACTGACCTGATAGATGAGTCGAATCATATATAAAAAAACTATTCAAATCATCACTTACTTTGTTTCTTTACTTTAACTTATACTTGAACGGTCTTCTTCAACTCCCCGATCCAATGAAATCAAAACAAAAAACGTTTATACGGTGATGCGGTGATTCTTTAATTCTTTCATCATGTTTTGTTACCACTAATTCAAACTTATGCCTACCTGGACATTTCTCCTTTTCTTCCACGTGATACCATGTGACCAAACATTGGCATTGGTATCACCTTTTTTTAATTCAATCCACATTTTATCAATTTTGATTTTCTTTCACAGGATTCAATCGATTCATTAGACTTAACCGATAATATAATCCGATCAGTCATCAATTTACCCAAATTAAACCGATTGAAACATCTTTATTTATCTAATAATCCAATCACATTTATTTCACCCAACTTATCACAATCATTACCTAATTTAAAATCACTAGTAATGAGTAATTGTCAATTGACTAATTTCAATCAACTTTTTAAAATTTTGAGTCAATTCAAACATTTAGAATTCTTAGTTCTTAATGGAAATCCGATTACTAAAATGTCATTTTATAGAGATTGGTGTATTTATAGTTGTAAGAAACTTAGAATGTTAGATCATCGTAGAATCAAAGATCAGGTAAAGTCGTCCCCTGTTTCATAACATCTTATAGCATTTTCTTTTGTTTACGTAAACTTATGTTTCTTTTTTGTTCTGAACTTTCAGGAAAGAAAAACATCATTAGAGTTGTTTTACGATCCAACCACAAAACTACCCACCGATCTAGCAAAAAGTCTATTAATCCTAGATGTTCAAACTGAAAACAATGCAATCCAAATGGATTATCAACAAAAAGATCAACAATTACCAGGACAAATGGGAAAAACTTTAACCAATGAAGAAAGAGATCGAATCAAATTAGCAATCGAAAAAGCTGAAACAGTAGATGAAGTTAGAAGATTAAAAAGAATGTTGGAACAAGGTTTTGTTCCTAAAGGTGAAAAAGAAATTCAAGTTGAAAAAGAAGTTGAAAAGGAAACTGAAACGCAAAAAGATACGGAAATGGTAACAGAAAAGGAAACTGAAACGGAAAATCAAATGGTTGTTGATGAAGAAGTAGTAGTAACTAAACCTACCAAAAATACCAAAAAACCAACCAAAGCTTCTGGAGCAAAGAGAGGAGCAAAAGCTAAAAAATGATGTAATGAATGTGTTTGTTGAAGGAAAATAAATTGAATTGGAAATTTTTGTTTTTGTTTGTGGTTTTGTTTTGAAATTTTGCAGAAAAAAATGTTGAGAAGATGTCTTGATTCAATTCTTGTGTCAATTTTTTTCATTTGATGTTTTGATGTCATAGAGGGGAAAGAGTACATTTGTGAATGGGTGATGTTCAATTCTTTGTTCATTTGGGAGAAAATGTTGGAATGCTTGACTGATAAAAGCATTGGGTTTTTCCTGGAACTTTTTTGAAATGGATTTATCTCAATATGCTAGGAGGATAACATCACCCTGTCTTAAGCCATCTATTTGGTACTTGTGTTGCATAGATATCTGATACATAATTGATAGATGTGATTAATGCTTGACCTGGAATGAATTGTCAAATATGAGCTGGTAGAATGTAAGCTTCACAAGTCTGGACTGATGAGGTATGGCACTACTACTTCATCAACCCTTGATTGGAGGCCCATCTGGATTGATACCTTCTTAAAAAAACTGGTGACATCTGACTAACAGTCACACCCGGGGCCCATTAACCTGAGGCCTCTCAGAGCCTGGGCAGACACCCACAATAGACCCCACACCATGTGGCTAAGGCCCTATGCTTGCCCTGGAAGCCACAGGGCCTGTATGTGGCCTGTGTAAGTATCTCATTGGCAAAAGGCTGTTGGCTTTTTTTTGGCTTGAGTTAACTTTTCTATGTGATAACCCCAAATCCCACAGTTGTTATCTTTATTCTGCAGTTAAGATCTCCCAATCTCCAAATGAAAGACCAAAACTATAATTGTTGGCATTAGTTTGGCTCTTGTTTCTGTTAATTTTCTACAAATTTTGAGCAACCAAAGTGTTGGTTCTTTTGACTCATTCCTTTTTTCAATTTTTGAAATTATCATGACAAGGGCTTAGCAGGGCAATCAGCTTTTTAAGGGTTTTGCAAACAAAGGAAAGTGGATTAAATTGGCAAGGAATTTGGAAACAGGATTGGGTTGTCAAGCTTTATGAATTTAGGTTGTAGATACATCAATATGTGTAAAATCAATTTTTCACTTTTGATTGACAATTTGTATCATTGATTCTTCCTATGCTCAGTTTGAAATTAATTTATTGCTTTTAAAGATAAAATCATCTAATTCCACTACAAGAAATATCATGTTTTCTGGGCAGAAAACATAAGCACTTACGGGATACAAAGTAGAAGCCGGGCACGTGCCCAGCTTTGTGCCCAGATTTTTTTTGGCAGTAAATTCAAATTCTGGGCCGGGACTTTTGCCCAGAAAATCAAAATTTACTGCCAAAATAATTCCGGGCACAAAGCCGGGCACATGCCTGGATTCTACTTTGTATCCTGCAACTGATATGCAAAAATATTGAGCGCTGAGGAAGAAAGAGAAAAATTCAAAAAAAGATGCATATTGTCTCCATGATAAAGACCTTTAGTCTGAGTTTTTTGCGCTTTTACAGTGTATATAGTTGAAAGTACCAACACAAAACATTTATGATCATCAGATGACCACCCATAACAGTTGCTGAAACTTGGACCAGAACCAAGAGAACATCTTCAATTCTCCAAATGCCCATTGATTTTGCGCTTCTTCTTCAAAACACTTGATGTTTAGTTCATTAGAAAGCAAGCTATAGCTTTCTTATAAATGTTTTGTCAATGTCCTAAAGCTGTGGCTGACCCACAAAAATCATAAAACTTAAATCTGGATTACAATTGGTGCCAGTGCTTTTGGTCTTTGGTTGGATGCATTTATTCCCTTGAACATGGTAAACAATGGGGCTCAGTGCTTTTCAGTGCTTCTTTTTATGCTTTTGGTCTTCTTTTACTCTGATCACATTAATGCATTTTGTTTTTCTTCCTTTGAACAATTGCATAAATCACTGCTCCTCAAAAGCAGTTCTTGTTCAATGAATTAAGTGGTGTCATTTTAATCATACACATGTTATGTCTAATGTTCAGCCCTTTCTTCTTACCTACAATATTGACCACCAAATAGTCTGCTCTCACTACTTCACCTTTCTTGCATACAAATCCAGCACTAGAAACTGGGGTCAAATATACTTGATAGTGCTGAGAAACAACTTTGGAGTTAATAAAGAACAATTTTGTAATGAAAGACTTCCACATATTTGGGAAATTTCTCTCATCCTGCCAATTTTTTGCTTCTGGTCCCTTTGTGTGATTTTTGGAGGAGCAAAAGCACTGCCTGCAGAGTGAAAATGGACCCATTGGTCCAATAGCAACAGATTGTGAGGGTGACACCAGCCGCTGGTGTGGTGATCTATTTATGATAACAAGCAAGAAAATTAATCATCTTTACTTTACCAAGTTATTAGAAAACTTCAGTGTAGCAGGAAATTCGAAATTCAGGTTTTCAGATCAATTGAAGCTCTTAGAGGCTTATGTATACTTATTAGCTCAATATTATGTCATCTCATTTCAAGATTATTCTTAAGATCAACGTAGTTTACTTACAAAGTCATTACAAAAAGACAGAAAAAGAAAAGATAAGAAAAATTCAAAAATATAGGTGTAAAAGTTGGAAAATGGTTTTTAGCTTATTTATAATTAAGTTATGGGTTTTATAAGGTTAGAATATGAAAGAACAACATTTTATTATACATTAACAATTTTAATCTTCAAGGTTGATAAGGGAAAACAGAAGTTATTAGCAGAAAGGTACTTTTTCAAAGTTGGTAAACAAGGATTATGCGTGTAGTTTACATATGTAATGGTGGTAGTAGTGGAAATTAAGGTTGCCAAGAGGATTTTCCGGGATTTTTAAGGTTATAGAAGATGATGTCATATTACATGAGCAAGAAAAAGAGAGTAGTAGCTGTGAAAAGTGAAGAAAATGAGTGAATTTCGTGGGAAATGTAGGTTTTCAGCTAATTACATATGTCAAATGACGTCAGATTAAGTTGGTAGATAGCTCATTCAACGCAGAAGAGTGGATTACATAATGTACAAACTTTAAAACATTAGTAACGGAGGTGTATGTAAAAAGGTATAAGGCAAATAAGAAATTAGTGTGAATCTTGAATTTACAGTCACAAGTCAACATGTAACACCAAAAACCTTAACTTCACAACTCAATATCTTACTCACCACTCATCAGAAATAGGTCATATGGGTGTCATAAATGATCAGTATCACGAGGGCTACAAGATGCACTATAGTAGATCAAAATTGGACCACTTCTGAAAAAATTTGTAATCTCAAAAATGGGTTTGCAGCTAGTTTACAAGGAAAAAAACACCTGTATTCATCTTAAGAAGTGCTGTACATTACATCATTGCATCATTGATCACTTTTGGCTGTGAAAATTACATCATACATTAGTAACAAGATCATTACATTGCGTCATTACATGGGTTTTAGGGTTCTTTAGGCGGATTTGACTGGTTTTTGAGGCTGTTGACTGTTGTAGAGGTTGTTACATGTGGATATAAATATTCTTTGATGATTTTGGGATTGTTGTTCCCTTTTCTGCATCTTATACCTTTGTTGTAGTGTTATAAATCATCATTTATTTACTATATTTGTACTAAGATCACTTAAATCCGCCCCTTCAAAGCAAGGAGAAATTTATTTACGTGTGTTAAAGACTATAAGTCAAATTGGGAATAATACTTAACAACAGTATTGCTAGTGATAACATAGTGTGTGGACTTTTTTTGCACTTAAAACTGGGAATAATACTACACAACAGTATTGCTTTATTTCTCTGGTGCCTTTATCTTTTTCTCTGTTATCACAAAGTGGTCAGCAAGTGCCCTTGTGCTGGTTTCTTTGAAGAAGGCAGTCTTTAGGCAACTTCTACTATATTACAAGTAGTAGATTATCCCTTCTTAGGTGTTGTAAAGCTCTTGTTGAGCTTTAAATACTACACCGGGGCCCTAGTATCCATTTATAGCTCAAAAACAATTCTTATATAGCCACATGGAGTGATTTTGGGACCAAATACAACTGTCTTAATGGAAGATATGGTCACAGAGTTCTGCTGTTCAATGAACCAGAGATCAATTATTTTGTCCACAAATTGCAAAAGATATCAGCTATTGTAGTACTCAAAATGTCCTCTTGTCACCCTTGAGCCAAATTCTGATATCTGTTACAGGTCGGATGATCATTGAGGTTTCTTGTTAGTACATTCACCCATTTGCACTCTGAGAATACCAGCAAGCCCTCATATTGAAGGTCTCAACCATGAGCACAATTACAGTACTCAAAGCTTTGTAAACTTTGCCGTGAATAGTTTTGTTGTCTTTCTTCACAACTACACATAACCAGGAAAAACTATGTTTTTGGCTTAAAAGTACATATTCTTGAGCTTAAATCAAGAAAAACTTTTTCCCGGTTGTTTCTAGCTGAAAAAATACAAAAAAACTACACAGCAAAGTATACACAGCTTTGAGTACCATAAACATTCACATTTATTTTTTCTCTCCTCCTGACCACTCAAGATTTTTGTGTATCAGCATTTTTATTTTTTGCCCAGAAAATATTATATTTCTATTAGTGAGAGCTGTACTATTTCTCAAGCCTTCAAACTCTTTCTGAAGCTGATTTGTTGTTGTTTACTGCAGCTAGAATTTTATTTGGAATGTTTTGTTAAGCTGTTCAATTCCAAAACCCGCTTTTGAGAGTTTCTGTTGGGATAATTACACTATGAAAACCTTTGTTAAAATTTTTCACCTTCAACCTCCAAAAGAACCTCACCACACAAAAGCTGATCCTCTCAGCTCAGATATTTGAGCTTGTATGCTTTTGCTTCCCAAAGTCTCATTGAGATCGATTGCAGAGGATCTAAAAGTCTCTATGTATGATACTGATCAAGTTGAAGATTCACTCAAGATCCCTTGGGAGTATGGGATTGACAAGTTTCCAGTCAGGGCAAGGTTGTTTTAACAGTGATAACGGGCAATGGACCTTTGTACTCAAGATATTTCACTCACCAGGGATCTACTAAGAC